AATATACAAACATATAGAACGCGTCTTTGGTAAACCATTTAAGGCCGGCTAGTTTGCGCGCTATTCATCGCTAAAGGATTCATTGGCGAACATTTCACTCGATGTAGAAAATGAACCAGACTTAGACACCTATCGTCCCCTTTATCATGCATAGATGTATTTTACAATTGGAGGTAGTTAAAACAAAAAGGATCCAACGCACATCCAGCCACTTTTGAGATATGGCAGTTTGAAATTTAAAATTATTTCTGACTCTTGTTTCATTTTTTTTTTTTTCATTCATTCAAAACTGTAATGTAATCAGAGATATTTATTTGTTTATATGTTGGATTTTTTTTTGCTGATCTAAGAGGTTAGACTTTAGGGACCGTTTGGTACATATAACTCATTTTTTGATAATTTTGTGGATAGGATGGTTTTTGGTAACTACGTCCAATTTTGACAGAATAATCATGTTAAATAACATTAACCGCCAATAAAAGCCTGAAATTAAAATAGGTACTTTTTTACATAATTTCAAGAAAATAAGACACATAAAAATGTATCATGTTGTGGTGTCTTCAGTTGAAATACTAGGAATAGTAAACGTATTGGAAATTAACTAATTTCTTTGGATCAAAACCGCGTACATTCGTTTTTTTTTTTTCAAACAAATCAATGTTTCCGACCCTTCGACCTTTCCGACAGGTCCCTTGTTCACGGTTGATTTTTTTATTTAGTACTTTAGGTATTGTTTAAAATTTTCATTTACCTAATTTTACGTTGTTTTTGAAAACTGTTTACTCATGATTAGTTATCCAATTACGAGTAAAGTCATCAACTAGTAATATTCGACAACTGGTTAACTACTACCATTTCAATCAGTCGTGACCATAGAACCTATAAAGTGCCTGTAACGTAGGTCTTGTTGGAAAAAACAAATATACGCAAATTAAGCCGGAAAATTAGTTTCATTTTCTACGTATAACGATCGCGAAAACCTAAGAATTGGTTAAATAAAACAAACATAGACAGTTAATGTAAATAATTTCAGTACAGAGTACTAAAAAAAGCGACCTCAAGTCATTCATCCCCTAGTTTGCCACCCTTAGAGGTGGAATATTTTCTTCAAATTTAAATAGGTAACTGGTAAATTCGGAGGTAACTACCCTCTTTCTAGCAAAAAAAAAAGAATCATAAATCATAAATAGTAATAGTAAAAGCATAGTAATACAGCGTAGAGTTCCTCAAAAGGGGTTTGAAAAAGGTTTGGCAACGCGCTCGTAACGCCACTGATATTGCAGGCGTTCATAGACGACGGTAACCGTTGCTTGTTTGTTGGCTAATAATATAAACATAAAAATTACAAGCGACGATTTGTTTCTAAGGGGCGTTTTAGCTGGTTACTGACTGGTTCCTTGCTAAACCTAAACCAAAACAATCAGCATAGCTGAACGAGATTTGGTCATTTCTATTTTAAACCTACGTCAAAAAAAGGAGGAGGTTCTCAAGTTGACTGTCTGTTTTTTTTCCGATTTGGATGATTCTTTTTTGTTGGAAAGAGAATACCTCAGTATTGGTTCCATTTAAATTTAAAGAAAATATTCCACCTGTAAGGATGGCAAACTGGGGGATGAATCCAGTTTCGCGCACTTTCCGGTAACCGATTTCAATAAAACTTGGCAAATCGACGTAATTCCACGAATTTTCGCGATCTGTTTTTTTAAATAAAAAAGTTATTGAAAACAAGCTCTTATAAAGAAAAACTAAACGGTTTTAACAGGCGCTACGGCAAAAAAGCCGTTAAAACCAAAAAAAAAGATAGAGAAATTCGTAAAGTCTGCTAACTCGACTGCTGACGCTCTACCAATAGAGCTACAGAGCTCAATTGGTAGAGCGGTTCCCTAGATTGGCATAAAGACGCAGGTTCGAGTCCTGTCAGATCGAAGGGATCTTTCTTTATGTTCAATCTTTGTCTTAATAAATATAAGAAGCTCTCATTTCCACTTATATCTAATTCTGTTTCTTTCTATCAACGTATAAATTCGCCAGTGAATGCACCTCTTTCATGCAAAAACAAATTGTATTGAGATCATTATAAAAAATCCTGATCAACTATCTTTATTCTATAATTCCGCCGCCGTTAGTAGAAAGGGAGCATGTGACAAAAACTCAAAACAGCGAAAGTGATGTTTAAAGAAATGAAATTTTAAAATATTTACTTTTCTCTTGCGGTAACTTCATACCTTATCCACCTAGGAAAAAATAAAAATAGTGACAGATCGGCCTTTTTTACTGATCAGAACAGAACACATAACAATTTTTTTTTAATGTCACTTACGCCCTTATAACTAACGGCGGTAGAATTATACTCTTCATATTTAACTACATCAGATATATCACACGTTGAAATCAATACCTTCACTAAACAAAAATGTCACATTTGTAAATTTAAATTTATTTTTAAAAACTTTAATGACCATTTCCAGAAAGTTGAGTTTTTGTTTAGCGACAGCATTTATGTCAATATGCTATTTCTTTTTCCTTTATAAGTTAGTGAATAATGTGATGTATTGATTTTAATAAAATTTCAAGCGTTTCTAGCTACTAAGGTTGAAATTCATCGATATCGCGAAACAAATTATAATTAACAAACGTATCGAAAGAATAGAGTAGATAGTGATGTGTAGGCCGTCTAGAGCTATACATCCATGATAACTGTATACACAACATTAATAACTTCCCTATACGCATGGAGGTATGGTTCAATTTGGTAGGGATTATTAAGTTTTGTCGAAACAATGAGATGCCCATTAAATTTCACTTAACAAAGTTTACGGAGAAGCGACATTATAAAAAATTCTATTTTTCTTTTTTTTTTTAAATATATATGAATCGTCATTGATAACCAGAGATCGGTACAAACTTCAAGAACTAACACATGTAGCGTAGATAATACCTCCCTCTGAAATACCGGAATTATATTGTGTAACTAGCAATTACTTTACTACAGTAGTGTATTATTTGGAAAGTTTTGTGATTGGAAGTACAAATATAACTATTAATAATAAACAAAAATTAGAACAATTATTTTTGTTTACAATTCTTAATAATACTGGAGTTTCACGGGGCGGTATAATCCGCTATATGTGTATTACTTGCAGTTTAGGTAAATTTATTCCGTCAAATCGAAGTCTGTTAATATCATTTTCTTATGAGGGAGGGACTCGACAATAACCTCAATTCGGTAGTTACTTCTACTGTTCTGTTATAACTGCAACCGATTGTTTTCTTATAGCAAGGTAAAGTTGTTCTGTTTCTTATCATATCAAATCTACTTATTACATTTTGTTAAAAAGTCTCAAATATTCTATAACGCGTTGGATTTTTAATCAAAGTTTCAATGACTACCGAATTGGGTTTTTAAAACGTTGTTTCAAAACCAATACTTAATAGTCAATCCTAATATACATATAGGGTTATTTTTAAAATACTACTAATATTAACATCATAAACTTTTGATCCATGACTTTTTACCAAACATTTTTTTTTTTTAGATTTACGAAAAATAACCTTTTAAGTTTTTATTGTTACTATCTGACACTTTTTAGATCTATTTTTGGTAGAATAAGTTCAAACATGCAAGCGTCTTGCGCGACAATTCCCACCCTTGTCCTGCATAGAGTTATTAACTATTTAGAGCGATCTATTTAAATCTACTTATTTTTGTATGAAAGTAAAATCTGAAGAATGATTGAAAGTCATGGAACAGATGTTGTTGTTTATGGTGTTAGTAAGATAGACCTGTTTAAAAAAATGATAATTTAATAAAGATCGGAAACTATACTGCCACTATCAAAGTAAACACATGCTAAAATTAGTGTAAAATTACGCTAACTATGCAGTATATTTCGCTAAGCCTAAAATGGCACATGTGACGCACACGCACTAGCCGCCTGAACCTTCTAACATTTTACTAACATTGCATAATGACCGAGAAGTGAGTTATGTATGTAGAACCTCTAGGGCCACGTTTATAGTACCAATAATAAATCTACGCAGAAATTACGAGATCAAGTTCATTGCCACACGATTTGCATTCCGACTGCATTCATTACAAATGAAACGATTGTTTTTTCGCTTGTGTTAGATGGACATAAAGGTTTTTCTGACCGGCAATATCGAACTTAAAATTTGTTAAAATAGTCACACGACAATAAAAGGCGTACGATTCGTCGCCTTCGTAAGTATTTTTGAGATAGGCCACTATTCTAGTAAACCATCGATATGTATGTGCGTACAAATACATAAAATATTGAACACCACTCACGTCTCAATCATTTTGCTAATGAATTGTACAGAAAACTATAATTCAATTCTATCGAGAAATAGAAAACACGTGTATAATTAAACATGAAAGTGTTCTTATTACAATCACAAATATTTATCTCGATAGAACTAGACTATTACCACATCGAACAAAACACCGAATATTCTTAATTGACAAACCACTAAAAAGCAGTCTTCACATTTATATTTATAAACACTAGGATTATTACAATTCTTATAATAAAAAATACTGGACCATAAACTTGATTTAATAGGAATTATAAATACGTTATACACTTTCTCGACTACGCCTATATTTCTCCGAACATTCAAAATATTTTCAATACCTGGATATGAAAATAAAACAATTAAAAAATATTTTTATAATTTCGAAATGCAAGTGACGAATGTATTGCACTCAATACTGAAGTATTATTCCAATCAAATGCTATTTTTAATAACAATATCAGAAAAAAGTTAGTGCTAAAAAAGTCTAAATCAAACTACGCAAATAAATGTCGTCTAGCTATTGATAAAAAAATGCTAGAAAAATTTGACATTTTATCTATGATTTTTTTCATAAATATTATTAAATGCACACAACCACATCTTATTTCATAAGAAAAGAAGCCTTATAAAGTCGAATTTCCACTAAACTTATTATTGTTTTGAGCATTCCAATTTGCCGCGAACGTGAAACAAACTACGAAAAATAATAAATTCTATTGTTTATATTCGTGACTGTACGTTGACGGTATAATCGTAACTTTACTATAGGACATTCTTTAATACGTTCGTTTCATTGCACAGTTTTTCCTACTATAATATTTTAAACACTTCCAAGCGCATTCGGTAAGGAAACTGCCGCTAAATCATTTATTATTTTCTATAAAACTCTATTATATTGACTTTTTAACAACGTTTTATTACTGGCCACAAACTGTAATTATCTTTATACGAACTATACATAAAAAAACTTTACAATGAAACAGTATAAAAAGTTCGATAATGCGACTAAAAAAGTGATCGAAGTGTTACGTATGATGTTTTGAGGATTAGTAACATCCTTAACTTGGTCATAGGAAAGGGCGAGCACACAACGCGTTGAGTATTCTCTCATTGTACTAGAGTTGTATTACCGAGACTCTTGCGATGCTGTTGATAACCTAAGGACAAATCATAATAGATTAACGCTTCCATCAATTTAAAACTGTATGTTGTATTGACCAATGACTCAAGGGGCTGCTAATCTCCATACTACAAGATCGTAACTCTGTAAAAGGTCATAATTCCGTCTTATATTTAGATGGCACTGATCAATAGCCTGGAAGTAGTTTATATGTATAGAAACAATTGAAGACACCCGTCAATTGTTTCGAATTCGAGCTGGCCAATCGGAACGCAGTTGTCACCGAAACGATTTGGCAGAATAGTTTGAAAACAAATTAAATGACATTTCATCTCTGTTTCTGGTTATATACTCGATGAGTGTATCAAGAGGTACTAAATACCAGACTAAGCTGTCTTGTATCGCGGTTAGCAGTCCTTTTGAGTTACTGATCCATGCCTTAATTAAAAACACTAACTTCAATGAAAATTTGATACAATTTTTATACTCAAAGCACAAAAATAAAATGGGGAAATGCAGTACGTCAAATTTTGAAACGGAAAACCTGCACATGAATGGAACTACTTCAAAACAGTAAGCTCAATCTAATTATTATCTTGCAATTTTAAATGTTTCACCCTGTATTTTTGATGTCATTTATTCATGAAATCATGTATGAAAGAAAAATGTTATTTAATGATGACATCCCTACAAGGGTTCATCATACCTAAGCGAACTTCGCGACAAAGATACTCAGCTAGAGCGGCTGTTGGTGTGTCCTACATCTCACATAAGCTGCTAAGGCCTTACCCAAGTATTGCGAGACGGTGAGGTCACTGTAGTCACGCGATCGCACTTACCTCAACGGTCTTGGCAACATAGGTCCGTAGCCAGCCAGAGCACTATACGCGGCCAATAAGGCGCTCAACGAATGCGGTTGTTGGTGTGTTCCACATCTCGCATGGGCAGCTAAAGCCCCCCAGCAATAAAGTGAGGCGGTGTCATCGCTGCGCGGACGGAAAGCAGCTGAGGGGTCGGCCGCGTTAGGATCCCGAGCGCCACCGCATGCTGCGCTTAACGTACAAAAGCTCATAGCTTTCCAACCGCCGTACCTATAAACATTTAACTCGTTTTCAGAGCTGAATTTTATATAATCTACACCCTACATTGAGTAAATACACTTTCATAGATTGGGCCATATCATAGTATAATTCATTTCAATCCATTTTAAACAAAATAGTAAAGAAACGAGTCACTGAGTCGACCATAGACAGTGTAGTGATGGTCAATTTTACTGAATAGATTTGTTTAATCGAGGCATACTAGCGGTTTTCATTACATAACCTCACTTACATAATTCAAATACGATTGTACGATGTTATTTAAATGAATATTGTTTAGAAACTGCGATGACATTTCAAGTCAAAATCTTCGAAATATACGTGAAAGTATTATTTATTCCATTTATTGAGTGATAGCTTTAGAAATTCAACCAAACTGTTTTGTTTACATTTAGCATAGAATAGAATAGAAATCGTTTATTACTACGCCACAACACAAATATACTTAGTAATAAAATGAAGATAAAAAAAGATGTAGCTAAATTAAAACAAAAAATTTAAAAAAAAGTAACAGGAAAAAAAGGAATAAAAATAAAATCATACACTACAACAGAGCAAACATTAAATATTCAACACAATTAGATTGAATGTCACTTGTGCGGCTGTGGCGTATGTAACAGGATCCCACTCAGCTATTATCACCACGGGAAAAAGGTGGTGACGCTGATTTTGGAGCATTTCGCATAAAATGATTTGGAACAAACTACAGAGGTATTTAGTCCTATGTAACCCTGAATGTGTCAGACAGTCATAGCACACTGATCTCAAATCATTATTTATTTATCTTTACGAGCATCATGGCACTGAAAGAAGCCTGTGGGCACCACAAAACAGGACACTTTCTAATTGATCCTACCGAGAATAAAACTCGGAGTTTCTCAATGCTTACAATCAGTAAAAATGTATTATAATTATACTCACTTGTCTACAACAACAACAGGTCCATTCTTATACTCCATCTGTGCGCCAGCAACAAACTCAATCAAGGCGAACGAATCCTTGTACGGTTCTATCAAACGGTCTATGGCATCTTCCTTCTCATTCCCACTCGTAGCTTCCCTTATAGCTTTTACAAATTCATTATCATCTGGCTTCCCAGCATTGTATTCCGTCGTGTTGGCGTCAAGCCATCGACTACATTTGATAAACTTCACGCTTAGTTGGTAATCGTCTTGTAAAGAATGAACGCTGACATTTATAACTTCTATGATGCGGTCTGAAGGTATGCTTTCTGGCACGGAGTCTACTTTCTCGAATGTGTAACATGGTCTTCGGAGTTCTGTTTCTTCTTCAACGGTAAGAGAGGGGGCAACAGGGGGCGGGGGAGGAGCCATATCAGGAGGTGAGCCCGCTGTCTTGGAACCCCACTCCGGGAATTTGAACTTCGTAGGGGAACTTATTTTAAAGTTTTTCAATGACATTTTCGAAGGGCTTCTAGGTGACTTTGGACCATTTTTCTTTTCGGATAATGACGAGAATAGGTCCCCGTTCGCAATGGATTTTCGCGCTGATAAATCCCTGTTCCCTGTACTGAGTCTTTCCAAACGTAGTTCAGTTCTATCGAAGCGATATTGAGGTTCAGTTTCGGATAATGGGGAACTGTTTTCAGGTATAAGTCTTTCGTCATCAGCACAATCACTTTCTTGTCGTCTTAAACCATTCGTTTCGGGCTCTGGAGGTGTGATTACTGGAGTTTGTGGTTTTCGTTCAGATTTCCGGTACGCAACATAAGTCTCTTTTGATATGAAACTCGCTTTAAAATTAGCGATGAATAATTCTTTGTCGTCCTCAGTGGGCCAGAAAATTTCGCATTCCTGAAATTATTACATATACAGATCAAGACGGTAGGTGGATGAAATGAGCAAATGAATTTTTAATTTTATTTTGTGAGAATTTAGTAGCAGTAGAGCTCCTTGTGCAAAAGTTCGTCCAGTGAAGTACTGCCACCTTATCTATTTCGTCCGCCAAGTAATAATGTGAGTATTACTGCATTCCGGTTTTGAAAGGTAGAGGTGGTGGTGAAATTACAGGCACATGGGACTTGTCAACTTATTTCTCAGTGACGGGTGCAATAGCAGCGTCCCTCTGATCTTCTTTCAGTCTTAAAGCTCTAAGTGGCCTGCAAATGGACAGGCGTGTCGCTTACCACCAGACGCGGGGCTTGTTCGTCTCATCACTTAGTGTTATAAAAAAAATAAAGGATAACGTTATATTTTTCTATATTAAATAAAAAAATTTTAATGAGTGTCTATAAATTATACATAACGAGTTTTATTTAGTATTTCGCGATTGTTACACATTGGTAATTAAACTATTTTTTCGGATCTTAAGTCAAGTATTTTTTTATTTATTTTTTTTTCAAATAAACCAACTGAAAAGTCGGACCGGTAAAGGGCGAAACATTAGTTTGTTTAAAAAACAAATACGCACGATTTAGATCCGAAAAAATAGTTTCATTTCCAATACATAAGTTGATCCTTCGATCCAGAGTTTATTTTCCTTATTATGTAATACATTTTTTGTAAGGTCCTTGACCTGATAAGAATAGGAAGGAAAACCACTAAGGATTAATACCATTAGCCGCCACGTTCGTGGAGCGTAATAGGTCGGTAATGTTGTGGTACGTACGGGGTCGTTCATGTCAGTAAGCACCAAGACCAGCTGCGCAGTGTGGTCCCAAAGCAGCCGCCAGAGGTCAGGCGCGGCGGCGGCCGGCGGGTGCTGCGCGACGGCGTACTCGCGCAGACGCCGTCGCCCGCACACCCATGACGCGTTCACATACTCGCTACCTGTTACGAAAACATTGTCGAACATTATTCGGCTTTTAATCGACTGTATTACTCCACGAAGAAACGACACAGAAACGACTAAATTTATAAAAACTTTAAAATCATATTTAATATCAAAAAGCTATTATACACTGCACGAGTATTTCAACAATTGACAATTAGAGTATTTCCAAATGATTATTTAAATATTTAATTTCAAAAAATACATATTAATACAATAATAATCTAATTAATTCAAATTTCAAATTTAAATATTTTATTTTGGATTAATCTATATTGTTCAGTAATACCTACATAACAAGTAATTGTCTAAGTTAATCATCATTTCATTATATTAGTTATTTAGTTTACAATAGAATAAGTTTAAATTTGTAAAAACAACTGTGCATGCAGTTGTTTTTAGTTTTGCTGTGCCCTTACAGGGTCCATAATGTTAACTGCTACTACCACCTAACATTGTAACATTATGGTCTGCAATAAACGTATTGAGTATTGAGTATTGAGTATTGAAGTCTGAGGAGATGGTGGAGTACATAGAGCCAAATACACCCTGAGAGTCGAGCGGTTAGAGTCCCGCCACAACGTGAATTTTAATTCGTTGTGAGAGTGCCGACCAATCATCAGCCGAAAAAGGAAAAATTTTGGCCGAAGGGTGCCGATTCCGCGGTCGGTTGCCTGACACCTAATTGCGCCAGTCGTCGCCGACAAGTGCAATTCGTGTAGATTAATTTAGAAATAGTGCTTGTAGTATATTGTATGTATGTGTCTTGTAGCCTGAACTAAACAAATAAATAAAATAAAATAAAAATTTTCACATTCCTGTGGCTACGTATATAACTTAAAAATGTATAGGGACGTCAAAAAACTCTGTAACATTCCAGAATCAAACCTCGACTTTGTAAGACCGGAGATCACCAATTTGATTGATAATCTTAAAAAAATTTTGTTCGAAAGCTGATATTGCTACAAGACATGGTTCAGCTGTAATACTCATAAATTTAATATCAAATTACTTAAAAATGAAAAAGTAAAAAAAAAATGTGCTATCGAGAAAACAAAGCTTACCGTCAACACCAGGTTTAGGGACTAGCATAACCCTAGCTGAGTCGGAAGGCAGAACTCCGCCGAGACGATTCTTCTCGACGTTGTGCGCTGCGCGGGCGCACACGCTAGGTTCTACGCACGATCGCGTTATCAGCTAAAAAAGTAAAATGAGTATAGTAGTACCATAATTTGACATAGAGGGCGCCGCACAATCTTTCAGATACAAGGTAGCAGACACAGAGGTAACAATTAAACTAGTGATAGTGTTTGACAATCTTTTGTACGTTATATACTAGATTTTTTGCGGTACTTGTGCACTTTGACAATAATAATTGTCGATATTGATGCTTACCAAAAACTGCTTTTCCAGTAAATTTACAGGCGGTGGTCCTTGATAAGAGTGATGTTTATTAGCCAGCGAACGCATACGTTCTAGTAACGCGTAGTTTTCTGCTCTGTTCACCCTATAAATATAAAGAAAAGGTTATATTTTAGACACAGACTTGTTAAACTCATACCACAGAACAATAAGTAGAAATGCTTAGTTTGTGTGGCACGTGTGCCAACAGTTCGCGGAGTTCCGCAAACTTGAGCTCAGTCCCATTTTCGCTTTGCACGTCATGGTCGCGTTAATTATCTGCGCGAAACTCGAAAATAAAAAATGCCTTATTTCGCTACTTTGGAGTGTAAAAATTAAAGTCGTACTTATGATATTATCTATGGTGGTGTTTCGTATCATCATTAAGTCTTACTTTATTTAATTTTAATAAAATTTTAATTTTGTGTTTTTGTAATCATTTTCGTTTCTTGTAAAAAATTTTTTGTTACAAGAAACGAAAGTAAACCTTATCTTAGCTCGCTTCTATTTTGGAGAACTAAATAAACATCTCAAATTCGTCGTCGTTCGGCTATTAACCGCTGGATGGCAGCACATTGATTGAAATTTCAATATAAAATTAAAACGTCCTAACTTGCAATAATATATATCGATGGTATTGAACTTTCGACGATGTACCAACAAAGTAAAGTAAAAATTATATTAACAGCCCAGAATTTGATTTTTCTTTTTAAATTTCAAACTACAACCAATCATAATCAAGGTTTCAAAGACGGTATGAACATAAACATAACGTACACACTCAACATAGCCCCCCACTAGGGAAACCCTGTGTCGCGGGTGCCATGGACACACACATAGACAACCACAAATTACACCCAAACTCACGAGAGAAATAAATGTAGGCCATACAAATATTTTTCCCGGCCCGGAAGTCGAACCTGGGACCTCTGCGTGGCAGTCCGGCATTGTAACCGTTCGGCCACGGAGACAGTTAATATAATGAATGTGCGAGTTTTGGCGACAGCACTGCCCTCGTAACGAAAAAGGCACAACTATGCGTACTTTATATGACAGCTGTGCTGTGCTTTATACGAGAGCAGTGCTGATATTGTTTTTTTATTTCGTGACTCTTAATGACAAACAGTAATGTTCGCGTCTTGTTCTTGCTACACAAACTATCTTGATTATAATGTTGATAAATTAGTTAAAATTACATTTTTTTTTTTTGTTTTAGTTGTTTTTAGCCTTTTACAATAAGCAGGTAATGAAATGGATAAAACTTTAGACCACGAAAGTATTAAAATATTTTCTACTATACGACGGTATCTGTCAAATATAACGGCATTATCCTATATAAAATAGTAAATAAAAGAATAAACTCACTTTCTTATCTCCTCTTTTTCAGCTTCACTCAAGCTGTTATACGCCTGCATCTTCTTGCTATACGTATCGGTAGACCTCGGCGCAAGATCGTAGACTCCTTCAGACTCCTCCCCATTAATGCCATTTACTCCCTCTTTGACTTCACTATCCTCCTCCCTTAAAGAGGACTTGCTCCCGTTCAAGTCCTCCGTTTTGATCGATACTTGACTACCATTCTCAACAATTTCTTTTTCACTCTGACTTTTAATACTGATCGTGTCACCATTCTCGGTTCCGTTTCCATTAACGGTCGTAAGGTCAATGACACTTTTGTTTTTCTGAGGATTTAAATCGAGAACCGCTAACTCCTCTTCCGTAATTGGTTCGAGAAGCTTCGATAGGTATTCTCTCGCTTTAGGGAATTCGACTTCAGTGTTACCAGATCGGACATGTTCTAATAAAGCGTCGTGGACAAAGACGTACTGTTCTTCTGTCTGTACGAGGTGGTTTCTTTGCGTCCGAGCGCGACAAAGGAAGCCAAGGGGAGAAAGAGTGCCAGTCAACTTGAGTTGATTCAGTTGTGCGTCAAGAACTATATAGGTGCCAGTTCGGCCTACGCCAGCGCTGTGGACGAAAACACTATGACGTGGTATTTTGTTTTATAAATAATAATAATGTCCCTGACACCAATGACCTCGTCTTACAATTGAATAAATAGGAATCTCCTGACTAAGCTCGCTCCATCGTCGACCTCGTTGTGGTCCAGAGCGTAATAATACTTTATTATTGAAAAGAATTATAGTCCATTTCACATAAGATGAGTCCTGTGACATTTCCAATTTTTACTTTGTAGTATACTATTTCTAACTAATCTTTCATTCAGCTTACAAAAAGAAATAGTAAATTCGTCATGATGTAGCAAAGACAAACTATATTTGTTGCGGTTGTAATTTTATATAAAAAATACTATATATTAAATGTAAAGGAAATTAAAAGATAGATAAAAATAAATTACCCCAATTACTTGATGCGTAAAACGGAATATTTTATCAATAGAGATTTACACCATAAAATCGATACATCGAATCGGCTGTTTTGTATCTCGCCGTCACACAGTGGGCCCAAATTGATAATTCTTGGACATAGGAATAACTTGTGGAGTATCGAGCTAATTTTTTTTTTTTATATGATAGATAATAACATTCCTAACAAGTTTCGTTCTTGTATAATTTCATGAAAAATTGATAGTTTCGGAGAAAAAATTTTTTTTTTTTTTTTGTATGGAGAAACATACATTTTATTTTTTATCTCTTAGTGTAGGAAAATGTAATGTGTGTGGTTTATTTACAGTATAAATCCAATCATTCTATATCAAGTAAAAAATAATCAATCTGCAGGTACTTGTGGCTTTACGTAAAAAGGTGTCAAAATTTTAGATTTGTTATTTATTTGTTACACAATATACTAGTTTCTACTTAACTTTCGTGTTATTGTTATAACACTCTCTAAATTACACTAAAATTATTTTTTCTTTAGTCGAAGCTCATTTATTTTGTTAAAAGAGTACATAAAAGAGTTAGTAATTTTGCCGCACCTTTACTTACAAAGCCGCAAGTACATGCAGACGGATTATTTTTTTGTACATAGAAAATTATTAGAACTATACTGTAAGTAACCCACACACATAACATTTTCGTATATTTTGAGATAAAAAATAAAATGTATATTTCTCCATACAAAAAAAAAAATTTTCTCCGAAACTATCAACTTTTCTAAAAATTATACAAGAACAAAAGTTATTAGGACCGTTATTATAAAAAACTTTTTTATCTATTATAAAAAAAATTAGCTCGATACTCCACCAGTATGTCCAAGAATTATCAATTTGGGTCCACTGTGCGCCAACACGAGTGCATACACCTTGTATGCGGGTCATTTTCTTAAAAATAAAAGTATTTTGAGCTTTGCGTGATATTTATGGAGTAATTGTTCAAATTTAGTTCCATTGCAGTTGATTTTATGCTGACTTTTTGTTTGGTTGAAGTTAATTTTTTTTTGTACTTTTTTGGTAACTTGACGGAATAACTGAATACTTTTTATTTTTTGTTTATTATTTGTTCTTAAATAATCTTCTGTAAATCGATTCCCTCTTCCTTACAAATTATGTCGATAAGACGTTAAATCCATTTTCTTCATTCGATTTTACATCACCACATCTCTAGAAACTTCAAATGTTTGACATATCTGGAATCGTGCTATATGAAATGAAATATTATACCCGAATATGTAAAATTGTGTCAGTAGACAAACCTGCAGTGTACAAGTACTGTGCCAGCGTCAGCAGAAGCCGCACGTACGAAGGGCAGCACAGCGAGCGGGTGCCGCGGCGTGCCATGGTCCGGCCACACCGTGTAATGGTACTGCACCACTGAACGACCCATGTCATCGCCCTCGGAGCTGCTCGGGCTTGACGAATCACTGTCCTGTTGAGGAGTTACAAATAACTTTTTATTTAAAAAAAAAACGACCTCAAAAGTTCGTGGAGTTACATCTATTTGAAAATAAAAAATAAATAAAAGAAATATTAAAAAGGTACATAAAAATCGGTTTACAAATCGCATAAGTAACAAAAACAATACAGTGGAATGTAGAACCTCCTCCATTTTTCACGTCGGTTAAAAAGAACGACATCACGTTCGCAATGTACATAAATGTAAAAGCATAATGTAATTTTGGCGTAAGATTGTTTTTACAAATTTAGTCATATTATTGTTTTTTGTATTTGTAATGTCAAATAAACAAAATATATTGTTATTCCCCTGAACTTATCCATTTAGTTAGAGTCGGCACAGTAACTTCTGTTTGTCCCTTTCTTTTATCACCGTTTTCACTGCATATTAAGACATAATATAATTTTCATACTATCCAACAACATACCCCGTTTCTGGGCGGCGGCGAGATGCTATCCTTGAGGCTGCGCACGCGCATGTGTCTGACTGTATACGCGGCGCGCACGTCCTCGTGCACCAGCGTGACGTGTACGCCGCCGAAGTCCGCGGAGCTACCGCGCCCGCCGTCCGGCCAATACATGTCGCATTTGCGCTATGTATAGGAATTCAATCAATTAATAATAATAATAATAACGCACACACTCAACATAGCCCCGCACTAGGGAAACTAGGGAAACCCTGTGTCGCGGGTACCATGGACACACACATAGACAACCACAAATTACACCCAAATTTACAAGAGAAATAAATGTGGGCGATACAAATATTTCTTTTGACCCGGGAATCGATCCTGGGACCTCTGCGTGGCAGTCCGGCATGGTAACCGTTCGGCCACGGAGGCAGTTCATTAAATATACTCAAACAAGGTCATATTTATACCACAACCAATTTAAAGTCTTATTATGAGCATCGCGTCATATTGCATATCCGACTTAAGTCGACAAAATTTGAAAGCTGAAAGAGTGCCAAGATTTACTTACAAAGTGCTAAAATAGCAGTTTATGTCACAGTTACATAATGAAAGGCATCAAAGTACGAGTGTGGGTTTATGAAACCAGCCGACAGGCGAGTTTCATAAAAACATCACCCGAATGTTTTAATGCCTAATTTTGTACAGTTCCATACACTGCTTTATCTATACACATATTATAAGCTCTCTATGATGTGTTCAAGAACCTCATGTTATGACTAGCGAAATGGCAGCGAATAAAATCTTTTCTCACACATGTCACGCAACGTAGTTTTTTTACCTTCTAATAATAATAATAACGCACACACTCAACATAGCCCCGCACTAGGGAAACTAGGGAAACCCTGTGTCGCGGGTACCATGGACACACACAGACTAGAAGAGCCAAATGGAATTTCCTCTAGATATGAGTGTGTCGGTATGCAGTGTTGGTAATGTCCACAGTCAGTTAATTTGACGTTTATCCACATTTATTTTATAGAACGTCGTGATGTTTTGACTACCATGATATTCATATATTTGTGTAAAAATACTCCACTAGTTTGTTACCACGTGAGTAGCCACGTTTAAGCAACAGACGCTGGTTTGAGTCCAGTCCGATCAAAGGATTTGCGTTTGTTCGATCTTTATATCAATAATAATAACAAACCAGTGGAGTTTATCCACGTATCAGGTGCTATTGCGCCCAATATCCGATAAGTTGGAGTTGAAAAGTGATCAAATGACTCACCCTGCCGCGCTCCACGAGGTTGGTGATCATAACGACAGTGTGCACGCGATGTTGCCAGATCATACGCCAGAAGGCGTCGAGTGTGGCCGGTGTCGGGCCTTGCGTAGCGATGTACCGCCTTCGCCAAACCAGCCATTCCAGTTTCACTCTAGTTTTCTCGCCATCTATGTGTTTTAATCAAGTTAACGAGAACGTCGTTTTACAGGGTACATAATTATGTAGATAAAGTATATTTGTTTATTATAAAGTTGTCAGACTAGTTAGCTAACTTTTAACTTGAAAAATTACCGCTTTTAAGGTACGTTTAAGGTAATTTTCTATAGAAAAAATAGTGTCCTAAAAACCTTTAGATTTTAAAAGTTTCGTGGTTATTCATTAAATTATTAACAAATTATCATTACAAGTAATCGAGATGGACTTTCTTTATGATATCAAGTGACGGGACGTACAAGTCGTGCACCTGGTGGTGGTGGTAAACTCGGGCAACAAACGTAAGCGACACGTCTGTTCATAGCAGTTGAAGTGTCACTCAAAACTTTAAATCGTAAAAATCTGAGAGGACTGCGCCCGTTACCCTAAGCACAGATTACTTAATACTTACTACGTAACTGATACGTCACTCTCATACAAAATCGAAAATACCTACGCTATAATAGCCTACAAAATCTGACACAAGGCGCTCACTAAGGGGAAACAGGAACCTAAGCATGCACTCAGAGAGGTGAAAATAACGTTGCCATCTGTGTCCCCTGTTTGTGATTTCGCTGCTGATTACTACCAAAAAATATGAGATTCGATACTGAGTAATGATATTTCATACACAAAATTAGAAAATTATAATCTATATTATTAGTGGTTTTCCTCACATATCCTATAAAAGCATAATTATTTAAAATTTCCGAAATCTTAATTTTAAATCCTCTTTCTAATCCTTACACTTATACTTGTTCAATTACGATTTAATAATCGATTACAAAAACTTTCATTGAATAAACCGAATGTTTTTTTCTCGTACAGCACTATGCAACCATAGGCTAGTCATACATCTATAATTGAAAAATAGCCTCACTTTTGGACTACCAAACGGTAATCCAAAAGACCATAAACCATCGACTAGTCATACATCTATAATTGAAAAATAACTTCACTTTTGGACTACCATTTTTCAAATATGATTTTACGATGTTATTCAAATGAGTTTTGTTGGAAAACGTGATGAGATATCAAGTCGAAATCTTCGAAATATACTACTTATTAGATTTACTGCGAGACTGCTTTAGAATTTTAATCACACTCTTTTGTTTCTTTTCGTATATAATGGATTAGAACAGTCTATAGGTAGCATTGTTTTGTTATTGATACGTACCGATATCAACATAAACGTCATCCAACTCAGTGTCTTCATCGCTCCTCTCACTGTCAGAATCTTCATTTTGCTCGTCAGACTCCACGATGCCGGAAAATTCGATGTTGAGGAAGGCCGATTCGATACCTTCGGCCAGGTTAGGAGGTGGCTTTGATGGTTTTATTGACGGTTGTCTATAACACAAAAATAACAATAGATAGTTAGATTTCGTTTACAGTTTAAGCAAGCTTTCCTTTGGGAATCAAACCCAAAACCTTCCATATGTACCTATCATTTGTATTTTATGAAAAGATGAAGATTAAATATTATCATTAAACATTAAAATCAAGGAATAAATAGAAATAACACCATTCCATAACAGTTGCAGTGCCACTGCAAAGCTTTAAAACGCAAAGTTCGAAGGGTTAATGCCTCTGCGCCCGTCACCCTGAGGCATAAGTTGACAAGTCCCATGTGCAACACCCCTACCCTTGAAAACCGGAACGCAGTAATACTCACATTACTGCTTGCCGGCAGAAATAGGTAAGGTGGCACTATTTCCCTGGACGAACTCTTTCACAAGGAACTCTACTGCTACTTAATAAATATCTTGTTTGTTTATTGTACTATTCTCTAAACTGTTGTATAGTACTATTGTACCATTTGCTAGTTGGTCAATATATAAGTTACCGATTTAATGTTAAACGTTTACAAGTAAGAATAAGCGTGAAACGTGGGAGACGGAATTTTGGTAGCAGTAGAGCTCCTTGTGAAACAGTTCATCCAGGGTAGTACCCTACCTATTTCTGCCGTCAAGCAGTAATGTCAGCATTAATGTGTTCCGGTTTTGAAGGGTAAGGGTGCTGGTGAAATTACAGGCACATGGGATTTGGCCGTGCAACCTTGCCGAAACGTCGGGAAACTGGGTAGGTGTGAAAAAAACCTATTCGTATGTAAACGCGTTTATTCCCGTTTCCAAATGTTAGAGTCAGATGCAGACTTTGAACATTTAATGGTATTACACTTAAACGAATGTGCAAGTCTTACCTGTGAGGGCGGTTTTTCTTGTCGAGCTTCCTCCGAATCCTGCGCACGACGTTGGGCGTGACGTGCGGCAGCATGCCGTCGATGAAGTTGGCGTTGACGTAGTCGCAGGCGGCGCCGCGGCCCGCGCCGACGCAGCCCGCCGCGCCGCAACGCGCACCCGCAGACACGCACACGCGCGAGTGATCGTCTGAGGAAGCACGTTAGTTTTATAGTAAAGGAAGAAAGAACACAATCACAGAATGTTTCCTTTTCTCTAATTCTAGATAAAAGTACTTTCAACTTCAGACTAGAAAATACTATATTGTATACCGGTAGTGCAAGCGTTCACTTTTTTGTTACAACGTACAGAAATCCTGGAAGTTCCTGAGAGTCGAAAGTAGTTTTATCATCTTCTTTTTCGCGTGTAGACTCTGACGTTTATATATGTGAGGACTAGTACTCAGCGACTGACACAGCATTATCAGTGGCGTTGTACAGGTCCTCGCGTGTGCAGGTGTAGGGGCGCGCAGGAGAAGACAAAAGATGTGCCATGGTCTGGGGAAAGACACCACAAATATATGCGCTCTCAGAGCTATAACCCCACCTGTGCATGCTCTCCTTGCTTCGGCCGAGTTTTATCATAAACTTAAAGTCGAAAAATATGACACTGACAAAAACAGGATGGCCAAAGCTGCCCCAATAAAGACGAAGAGACGTTCATAGACTTTGCTGGCGTAATTTTGCGTTTTGGTTTATGCCTAGTTATCAATATATTTTTGTATATTTTCAGAAGTCGGGAATAAAAAAAATTTAAAACTTGTATTTTAGAATAGATGCAAGAACACAACGCAATTGATTCAGTTCGACCATAGATTAGATAACGTTCTTGTACGTATATTTTTATTTTTAACTTTAAATTGGTTATTTTATGGTACACACATAAACACTAAAGCTATGAAATGTTACTAAAAGAATTCATTAAACAGTAATGACATGAAGCAAAGAATAAAACACAATGTGACAAAAATATTTAGACAATATTAAATGAGAGATAATGAAAATTGCAAAGGAACGGTTTGACAAGAGGTCTCTCTTGTCAAAATGTTAATGCCACATTAATATTGAGAACAGTGTGACAATTTGTGGCAGATTTCTGTCGTTTGGGCGGATTTAACTTTTATTCATTTTCATTGCTACAGAACATGATAAGTTATATTAAATGTGGCAGAGTTTGGCAGATTTGGGAATGTTCGGGAAGTTCTTTATTATTTTTGAGAACAAACTGAAAACTTGTTGTTTTCTGCTACTACGAACAGACTTCTAAAGCTAAATTCAGGACAATATTATAAACATAATCTATATCAACTTTATAACCCCAGCTTCTACAGGCTGTACTCAATTAGATTTTTTGATGCTTTGATAATGAATCACAAGTATTGATAGGTCTCATTAATGCACGTCGTCAAAAACACTGAGTCACAAAATACGCGGGATGTCGCCATCCTTCTTTAGTCCTAGTATTGTTACTTAGACAATATACCTCGAAAGTTACAAAAATTTTGACATCAAAAAACATTTAGACATCGAAAGGGAAGGGAACAAAAGGCGCTGGCAGTTAGGTGCAACATGTTGGCCCGACAATTTGCACGTTGTAGTAAGCAAGTTAAAGTAACATTATTTAAAGCATACTGCCAAATCTTCTACACGTGT